CACTATTTACAATAGCCAAGAAATGGAAGCAACCTAAGTGTCCATCAGTAGATGAATGGATAAAGAAGAGGTGGTACATATACACAATGGAATATTATTCAGCCATAAGAAGAAAACAAATCCTACCATTTGCAACAACATGGATGGAGCTAGAGGGTATTATGCTCAGTGAAATAAGCCAGGCGGAGAAAGACAAGCACCAAATGATTTCACTCATATGTGGAGTATAAGAACAAAAGAAAACTGAAGGAACAAAACAGCAGCAGACTCACAGAACCCAAGAATGGATTAACAGTTACCAAGGGGAAAGGGACTTGGGAGGGTGGGTGGGAAGGGAGGGATAAGGGGGAAAATTGGGCATTACGATTAGTACCCATAATGTAGGGGGGGGGACACGGGAAAGGCAATATACACAGAGAAGACAAGTAATGATTCTATAGTATCTTACTATGCTGATGGACAGTGACTGTAATAGGGTATGTGGGGGGGACTTGATAATGGGGGGAGTCTAGTAACCATAATGTTCAAGTAATTGTACATTAATGATATTAAAAAAACTGATTTGTAGGAATTCTGAAAAAACATATATATTTTGGATCTGGCCCTTTGTTTATATATGTTGTAGACACCCTCAGTTTAAAAGTGTCTCCTATTTTAACCTTTTTCAGAACGGCAGTCTGAATTGCCCACTCAAAGTAAAGCTAGCTTTCCTAGTATTCTCAGTGACCCAGACCCGGATTCTTCTAATTCTGGCTTTGACAGCTCAGTTGCCTCTCAGATCACAGAAGCTTTAGTCAGTGGACCAAAGCCACCAATTGAAAGTAAGTATATATAATTTTATACACTCATTTTTATTTTATCAGCATCCTGAGACTTTTTCTGAGACATGTTATATTATATCCCTGTAATCAGCATACCTGAAGATAGAAATACTCTGATTTTACTGAAGTGAGTCTGTTTTTGTAGCTTATCACCTTACTTGTATTTTTATACCTCTTTATTAATCTTCTCTCTATCATTATCTTCTCCATCATAAAGTTCTACTGATCCTACAGCTCTTAATTTGCTTTAATTCAAAGGAGAACACCTATTGAACTTGAAATACCGTAGCTGCATCTTTTGGTTTTATAGGCTTCTCTGTGGTCTTAATGACAAAGGCATGCTTTCTAGTTAGGGGTAAGAACATGTTCTCCAGAGGATGGTGTCATTATGAGTTAAAAAGTTACACTGTGACATTTTATGCTATTTACAGTAGATCTTTGGCATAAATGGGTTTAGTGTTTGAAGTCTCAGCTAGTCACAGTGTGCCAGAAGGTTTGTGGCACATACATACTGGTTTTAATACTTGCTTAGGCACAAGTCTGACTTGCATGGGTCACAGGAAGGTGTGTGCAATGCAATCAGTCAGATACTGAGTCTAGTTAAATGCTAAGGCATCCCTTTCCTTCCTGATAAAGAACTTACTCTTATCATATAAGCAAGCTGCTCATGAAGTGTTAAAAACTTTCTTATTGTAAATGGTGTGAAAAGAAATTCAGGTGCCAGTTCTGGTGATATACATGAAGAGACAGTATAGTTTAAGATAAAGTAGTGAGTCTCAGCCAGAAAACAGACATTTTCAGTCAACTAGAGTATAATCTCAAATTGGCAGGAGTTAGGATCTGACTCAAATAAGCCCATTTGAGGCCCTATGTGGAAACCAAAGTGAGGTATGAAATGTGTTCAGCAGAAGTTCCTAACAGCATTCATTTCAGTGGGTTTATAATTTAGGGATCAATCTTGTTCCATAAAATAGTTGAAGCATTGAGTCATTTCATTTTCCTGTTGAATTTTTACTGAACATGGTGAATTTAGGTGTGAATTTAGGGGTTAATGAAAGTCTCCAGAATCATTTGAGAATGTTATGTCAGTCATACCTCTTTTTCTCCATGTAATTTGCCACTTCAGGTTATAAGATACAAAGATAAAACTAGTACAAATTACAGCAGTCTCTGAACTAAAAACAATAGTGGTAATAAGGATAGCATAAGTGAGATCAAGTAGAACTTCATTTTTTCCATAAAAAGACTTTACCAACATAGTAAGTTGTGCCCTTTTGCTATTGAGTGGTGATGGTGCTTGAATTAAAAGTTGGCACATTGTGGTCAGGATTTCCTTTCTTCTCTCCATAGATTGAGTCTCTGGCATATTAACAATATACAGGTTTCCCCTGCTATCCAAAAGTGGAGAGTTCTTATGAAATCTTTTGTAATGGCTGAAATGGTGTAAAGGGAAGAAGCAATCACCATTGATTTGTATGGAAAAATTTTAGAGCCTCCCCACCCAAAAACTAACCTCTTAGACTTTCCCGATACACTAGGACACATTTTGCTAATGGACACATGAAGTAAATTGAGATAAAGCACAGATGCTCCCAGACACAGCTGAAAGCTCTGTGGGCTTGGTGCTGAGATGCTGGTCCCAGGGAAGGAGCTTGGCGGGGCCCCTATCGCTTCTTGAGGTGCGCCTTGCAAAACCAGTGTTGAGTGCTGTTTTTTCCTCTTTTTATAAAACTGAAAACCCTTTGAGATTTCTTTTGATTATAGAGAAAACAAGTATTGGTCTTTCACAAAAACAAAGTGACATATAATATAAACTTTCAAAATTGGGGGGATACCTGTCCTCAGTGTTTCATTTTCTTCTTTTCTGAGTAAAACCCTGACTTTTTATGTCATTTTTGCTTCTGATTTTGAACTCAAGACAGTTCTGTTACCCTTATTAAGCACTGTTCATGTACTTCATTAGGGGAGATGTGTGTGCGAGGTATACAGATCACACAGGTGTGAGCTTCCTGATAGAAACAGTGAAGTATTTCTGCTCTCATTCATTACAGGCCATTTCCGGCCAGAGTTTATTCGTCCGCCACCTCCACTCCACATTTGTGAGGATGAACTGGCTTGGCTGAATCCCACAGAGCCAGACCATGCGATCCAGTGGGATAAATCAATGTGTGTGAAGAATAGCACTGGTGTAGAGATCAAGCGAATAATGGCCAAAGCCTTCAAAAGCCCCTTATCGTCTCCTCAACAAACACAGGTGTATATTTATTGTAAACATTTTCTTATCTTTAATCCATCAAGCGTTTATTTTTGTTTTCATAAAGTGATGAATGACTGATAAACTGATACTGTCAACAGGAGCCAGCAGTGGGAAGGTTTCTGGATCTCTGCAGCTGTGTTCTGCTCCGATTCTGGTCCTTGTACTGGGTGGACAAGAAGTCTGATGACTAAAAATGGACCAGCTTTTGTTTGGGATCAGTTTGACTCTGGGAGAAGAGGGATAGGATGGCTCTCACTTTTTTTCTGCTTTGCCCCTGCTCTGTGCCAGCTAGGCACTTTCCATACATTGTTACATTGAAGTGGGACAGTAACTCTACTGTCAGCAGAATTAATAACATTTATTGGAGGAGGAAAGTGCTAGCCCCCATCACCCAGCTGGTTAGTGGTGGGTTAAGAGATTCAGAACAGCCCCTGCTGCTTAACCCTGGTGGGGTTGGGGGGTGGGAGGTAGGGACACCCTTTGGTGGTTTGTTTGGTGAATTTTAGTTTTTGAACTTTGACATTAGAACTTGTCAGATAACATTGCCAATACAGTTTACTACCAAAACATTATTTTTCCATTTTTCCAAGTCAAAAAATAGCTATGTTCTTAATTCACTTTGTTTACTAAACCATCCTAAAACAACAATCTACTGTGGTAAATACTAGTATAGCAGGGAGAAGAGCATAGAAATGTTTAAAGAAGAAGTACCTGTTTGGCAGAAACACTTTTTGAGGAGCTCTATTTGAATCACCAAGTGTGAGTGACTGGACTGTAAGATGCTGGGAGCTGATGGGCTGCAGCCGGCCAGACCTCCCTCCTCCCGCCCTCTCCTCACTGGCATTTCTGTTCACCTCGGGAGGGCCCATTTCTAATGTTCTCTGTGGTCTGTGCATTTTGGGAGAACTAGTTGGTAATGAAGAATACTTTTGGTTATAACAGATGACAGGACAAAAAAGCCTACGAAGGACTTAAGGATATTGCTACAATCCAGATAGTATTTATTGAGTCCAGTTTAATACCCAGGGGATTCACTATAAACTGTCCTGAAGGTGTTTGCATTTTAGTATCTTTACAATTCAAATTAAATTTAAAAAAATCAAGACATCATCATGGGTTTGAGGGAAGAAATGTGTGAAGTTGGTTTAGTGCAGGTAATTTTATAGCTTTTTGTATGAAGTACTTGTTTTCATATGCAGGAATTTGACTCAACTTCCCTCTCTTTAAAATATTTGATTGTATTTAGCTCCTTGGTGAATTGGAAAAAGACCCCAAACTTGTTTATCACATTGGCCTCACTCCAGCCAAACTTCCTGACCTAGTGGAGAACAACCCTCTGGTTGCTATAGAAATGTTGCTGAAGTTAATGCAGTCAAGCCAGATCACTGAGTATTTCTCGGTCTTGGTCAATATGGACATGTCTTTACATTCAATGGAAGTTGTAAACCGGTAAGTTTCTATACTTGGTCAAATGTGGGAGGTTTAAAGATCCTGATTAAATGGCCCGGAGGAAATAACTAGCAACAAATTTTTTTCCTGATGTTGTTAGCCTGAGAAAACTTGCTAATGTGAGCCTTAGCGTTCACCGCATGTGAATTCAGCATCTACGAGTAAAAACTCTGAAGGATTGAGTTCTCCTAATGTATGTAGTTGTATATTCTTTACCCCTGCACAAATACAGACATATGTTATTGTTTGTTAATGACTAACAGCTATTTCATGGGAAAGTATGGGTGTGAAGAGCTGAGAGAAATCTGGGAATATTGGTCTAGAATTCCTGGCACTTTTCTCTGGGCCTTTATGACTCACTCCTGACTCTTCTGTAATTCCCTTCTACCTTCTGGCTCAGGCTCTCCCCTTTGTACCAACATGCACTTTCTTGTCCTGAAGCTGCATCCTTTTCGAGGCCTTCTGACTGGCCATGCTCTGCAGGCTCACCTCTTCCCTTTCTCTGCGTTCTTGGAGCAGTTACTGTCTTTACTGGGTATCTGGTCCTTAGTTCAAATAACTGCATCTTTTTTTTTTTTAATCAATACTATTTTTTCTGGAGAGTAATTTCAATTGCTTTTTGTCCCTGTCAACCCTGCCCCTGCCCCTGCCCTTAGTGTGAAACAAACCTGTGGACACACACAAATCTCAAGTGACTACAGCAGCCTATGGTAACAGTTACTTTGAGCAGTAATTCCCCATTGCCTTATAGAAAAAAGTTATGAAGTCAAGTTTGGTAGTCATTTCTTATGGAAATTCATACCATATGTTAACATAGCCCACCTTTATCTGGGCATGGAATTCCCACCCCACCTTTTTCTCTTTTCCTTCAGTCTTTCATAGACTCTTTTGGAAAATACCAGCCTTCCTTTACAAGATTGAACTGATGTGACTGCCACCATACCTTTGATATACATTCTAACTAGGTCTTTCCCACCATGTTCCCAAATATGCCATCTTAATCCCCCACTCCAAACTTTTGCTAAGATTATTTACTGAGTTATAAGGAACCCTTTTCTGCCTAAGTTACTTGCCATTTTATGGGTTTTCCCAAGTTTTTTCACTTACGTTACTCTTTTTGAAAACCCTTCAGACACATGGCCTTGCATAACACTTAGGTGTAAAGTAACTGGAGTTTAGTAAATGTTACTTAAAATAATAGAATAATTGCCAAGGTTATTAGAGCTTAGAAGATAATTATGAATTATGATTTAGCCAAGAACAGAGACATGGTGCTCAATAAAAAATTAGTATGAGGAATTGTGTGTAATGCTAAGTATAGACTTAAAAAATGGCAAGTGTCATTTATTAACAAGTGGGTATGACTCTTAGGTTTATTTGTATATTTAAAACTAGGTAACTGGATCACATACTAGAAATTTTCACTAAATGACCAAAGGAAATTTTGCATTTTATGGTCGTTTTTTAATGTTAGCAAAATCAACAGGCCTAACTTTCTAACCTTATGAAACAGACTAACTACAGCTGTTGATCTACCTCCTGAATTTATTCACCTCTATATATCAAATTGCATCTCTACTTGTGAGCAAATTAAAGATAAATATATGCAGGTAAGTAATAGAAATTTTTGTAAATTTTATGAAACACATGCCAAGAAAATGGGCACACTAAAATTTGTTCTTTCTTTTTCAGAATCGTTTGGTGCGTCTTGTGTGTGTCTTTCTCCAATCTTTGATCCGTAACAAAATTATCAATGTGCAGGACTTGTTTATAGAAGTGCAGGCATTCTGTATTGAATTCAGTAGGATACGAGAAGCTGCTGGTCTTTTCCGGTTGTTGAAGACATTGGATACTGGGGAGACACCTTCTGAGACCAAAATGTCAAAGTAATACCTCATCAGAACGGTAGTACCCCCCCCACCACCCCCAGTCATTGTTCAGCTGTACTGTTATTTAATTTTTAAAACTGTTAGAATTCCAAGTGGATTGTGTGGTTTAATACATACAAACAACACTTTATGTACTTTAAGCACAGTTTTCTTTTCCTGGATGACTTTTTTCCTTTAGATAAATTTTTGGTAAGAACTTAGAAAAATGTCTTTTAGGTGGTTTGCTAATGATTAACCTAGAGGAATGGTTATACCCAAAAAAATTACTGCAAAAAAGTAGATGAGGTCTTTAGCACTAAAGAGCAAAGTGCCTGTTTTTGCTTAAAACACAAATTACAGGCTTCTTTTAAGTCAAGAATCTGGTTTTCCTTAAGTTCCAATGGTGAAAATATTTGATTAGAGTAAACTGAGACATTCTTAAGAATCTGTCACACTGCCCTTCAGGTGAAAGCAATTCATTGTTTTTGAATCAAGTGGCAAACAGGTTTGATCCTTGCACCCATTTATGTGTGTAGCTCTTCTCATTAAGCAGTTTGAACCAAGGGACATACTTTAACTTTATTCTTTCTTGTCATGAGGACGTTAATAGACAACAGAATAAATTTCTTGGGCCTCTTATAAATATGGGAATTCTTAGAAACCTTTTTGAGACTGTAATAGCTGGCAGTTTTCTGGGTTTTTTCCTCTTAAACATGTTCCTTAGTTCTTCAGTTGTTAGTCTGAGGTAGTTATTTTTTTGTTTTCAGGAAAAATGTCAATGCATTGGGAGGGAATAACCCCCTGACAAACTGTCATGTAAAATTGCTTGCTGAGTGGCCTATCTGCACCTGCTGCCTGTGGTAGGGAAGATGGCCTGTAGGAGAGTGAGAGTGAGGTAGGATCATGTGGGCTGTGTTACCCTCATTTAACTTTGGACAACAGTGCCTTACATTAAAGTTTTTTAATGAACTCTAATACCTGATGTATTTTTTTACTTGAAAAAGATCATGAAAAATTCATTTACTGAGATACTTCAAAAACATTCTTTATAGGCAAATAATCCTTCAACAAGAATTACTTTTCAACTTCTTAGCAAAAGTTAAAGGAAACCAAGCCTATTGGTTTTAAGATGAGCAGAAGTTCCAATCTTGTAATACTGGTGAAAGAGCCCTACTTCTAGATGTATAAAAGATGTTGTACCTTAGGTATTCTGAAAGCAAGGGATTTGTATATACATTTGCTTTAAGGAAGTAAGGATCAAAGCCAGTGTAACAGGAATGCTTTTTATATACCTTAAGTGGTGGCAGCAACCTTGATTTCTCTCAATGCCTAAAAGTTGACATTGCTGTTACATACTATCCCTGGGAAAGAAACAATTCTTAGCCAAATACTCTGCCATTCCAGAAAGTTTCATCCACTACCACTGTTGGAAGCAGCCCAACTTTGGGCTCCAGGAGTTACTGATCTGATACGCTGAACTCCTCCTGGCCAATGGCATTGCCTCATGTTGAATGAAGCTTATCTAACATGAATTTTCTCTTACCACAGCCTCAAGCTTAGAACACTACACAACACTTCAGCACCACACTTGGGGGCCACTTTAAACTGGAATCATGCGAAGGAAAAAAAAGTGTAAAATTTTGGAAAACCCAGCACCAAATACACCATGGAAAGGACATGTGTTGGCAGTTTGAGAGTTGAAACAAGGCAGAAAGAGTGTCCTCCTGTTCAACCTCAACCAGAACATGGGTCAAGTGACTGACTCAGTGTCCACCCTGTGGTGTGCGTCCACAAATGACTACAAAGCCCCCCACATGCTAATGGTGGGCTCACAGGTTTTAGGCAAAGCTGCACATGTTGAGACTGACTACTGCTCATCACTTGAGGATCACAGAATTGTGTTTACCCGAAAGAGGAACTTTCAAATTTGTTTTAAATAAACAGCTTACAAAGAAAAGTAGTTAGTCATAGAACATTTTATAAAAAAAGTCAAGATTTACATTTACAACACCAGAAAAAGGTTCTTCATTAAACATGTTTAAAAGTAGAGGAAAGTTTACCTGAAATAAAATAAACTAATTATAATCCTGGGATTCAATAACTGCAATCGATTTTTAAGTATAATCAGATGAGTTCAATTGTTAAAAAAGACATCCTGAATTCTCTGGATTTTCTAGTTTCAGCTTGAAGCTTTAATATCTTCAGATCACCTGTTAAAAAGAAGATGGCACTAAGTAACGGTAGAAAGAGAATTTAAAAAATATCTGGGATCCTAAAATATATTAAATAATTCTCTTTAATAGTGTTTAAACACTTTAAAAAGAAATGGTATCACGATTCTTACAGACTCCATATACATTTTCACATAATTTTAAGGAGCGTCTACCACTGTTTATACATTTTGTAATGATTCATATTCCCATGGAGAATTTCCCCTATTTTAAATGCTATTCTGAATGGTAACATTGAAGATAAGATTTTCAAGAGTACTGAAAATTAATGCATGGGAAGAACTTAACATATTCATTAAAATTCTCACTCTCTACCAAAGACCTTTTGCTGATTTCATTTTCTATCTGGCCTTTTTGTGCAATCACTTACCAGGAATCCAAGACGCCTCCACAAGCACTTAAATATAATCCTGGGGCTGAAGAAACACAATCAGCCCCTAGATGGTGTCAGGGTTCCCAGGTTTCTCATTAGCCCATAATGTACAATAAATTCACTACTCGGCAGAAAGAATGGATTGACTATTAACTTAAAACTAATGTAATATAAATACTTCCGATTTACAATTTACTTTATACTTTGCTGATCTCTAGGTGCACAGCCAATTAAGACATTTTAGAAATTTCACTTAGTATTTTTCTGGAAGAGCAATGCTTATGTTTTTAAAATATCAAAAACTTAACTGGGAAAGGCATAGGTGGCTTTTCTGATTGGTTGTTGTATCACAGAAGCATTACATGTTACGCCAAATATAGCTTTGGTTCAGGCCAAACATGCTGTGCTTTGTAAATCACATAGTAGAGTTTACACGGAGCTCGAAGAAGCTGCTTGACTAAAACACAATTGTCTCAAGTTCCAGTCAGTAATACACATGTACTACAGTCTCCCCCTTCATTAAGCAAATGAACTTTAATGTGCTCAAAAGAAGAGACCGCTGCTATGCGAAGCTTTCTTACCAGGGAATTTCATTGCAGTGGGAACACACCTGTTCTTGAAGGTCTATTACTGTTTTTATGTACATTCTAAAGTATACAGAGAGGTGTTTACTAGTTTAAGCCCCAGTGTTGTCCAAGGGTCACTGAATGTTTTTTTCTTAAAAATACTTGGGCTCTCTTTGGGTACGCCTTCTGGAAGCTTCCCAAGCCAGGACACTCCAGTCCTGATGCTGCTGAGGTCAGACTGGTGGTTTCGCTTCAGGAGGTTTTGTCATCGTGCACCACACAGAGAGCAAACTGCTGCCGGACACACTGCAATTCGGCCTTTTATTGTCATCATTCCTCAGCAGCTACAGGAAACAATCTTTCAGGAAAGAATCTGTGTTTTCAAGAGCCCTAAAAATGCAGCATGCTAAGAAGTATTACCTGCAGGAGGTGCGGTGTTTTTGCACCTCTCCTTCAGACCCTTGTGGTTTTCTGACAGGAAGCCAGGAGCCGCACCCAGGCAGGCCAGCAGGCTAGAGTGCTTCACGTTCCTGGACACACTGGCTCTTTAACATGCCTGCGACTTTTAAAGTTAAAAAAAAAAACAAAACTTTTTCTACCTCACTGGTGAACAAACAGCTTTTATGACACTCATTAGAAGGAAAATGACCACTGCCATAAATAATATAACCAGCCTTAATTCAATTCTCTTGTTTTAAGGAAAGCTGTATTATGATAGTGGCTGATAAAGAAATCACACTCCTGTAATTATCAAAAACAACTACCTTGATTTGTCAAAGTATTATCATTAAGAGTCAGCTTCAGTAGCTGCTGGCAAGAATTACTAATTAAAGCACTTCCCCCTAATATGTTTCCTAAAATACTAAAAGCAAACAATCTACTTGATGCAGACTCAGGGACATATTTTCCTATTCACAATGAACCACAGAAGGCAAATTTCAAAGATAATGCCTATTAAGGAAACTTCCTTTGAGGATGTCTGTGAAAATGGGAGCACAAAGACAAATACCCTATTTCAATAGCTCCTCAAATTGAATCTGGTTGCAGGGTTTACTTCAGTAAAACTGTTTACTCACTAAATATTTCACCAGGAGTAGCTAGAAGCAAAGTGTGGGTAAATACCTTGAAAACAATAAGCCATATAAAACTTTGTATCTTAGATACAGCTGTAAGAATAAATTCTTTATACTTTTTAAATTATATTTTCTCAAGTTTATTTTTACCCACAAAATACATACATACACAATAACTAAGAGTTAAGAAACAAAGGACCAGAATTTCAAGTTCTAAAAAAATAACATCCTCCTGGACTTCTACCTGAGAGATGAGCAGATGTGTGTGTTTACTTAACCACTGCATAAAACGTTAGAGAGCCATACCCTGAAGCTTTATATTAGCCTGCACCTTCCTCCTGCAAGAACAGCAAATGAGTAAAAAGGACAGATGGTTAAACAAGGTCACAGTCATTAACTTTGCTTTAAAACTAATCAAGAAAGTTGCCTACTTGTTTATCTTGTCACAACAATAAAAATTCTCCAGCTATCACCCTTCTAATTATAAAGATTAAATTGCAGCTGGAACCAATATATGGTATTCATCATCTATGAAAAAACAGACTCCAGCCTGCCTACATGACTTAACAAGGCCATGAAGAACTTACTGCTCATATGCAATACAGAATCGTAGCTTTTTTTATTTGTAGAAAAAATGGACAAATTTCCCTTCCCATAAAGGTGACACAAGAAATTAGGTAATAAAAGGGAAAAATGCAAATTCTGAAGTCATCTAGTGCTTTTCTCATGATTTCAAACAGAAAACAACAATGTAAAAGTGTTCCCAGGTTTTGAAGTATCTGTATGTAATACAGAGGCACAAGAAAGCTGTAGATTTCTCTTACCTCGTTGAATGTTCTAAAAAAGTCTTTCCTCCAGGGAAAACTCATGATTATTAAGTTTAATTATACAAATCTACTTTGACTAGTCTAAATACAGTGTGCTTAGTCTACATCCATCCTTGAGAAACAGAATTCACCTTTTTACAATACCGTGGTGGCTAGTCTTTTAGAAAAACACTCATCCTTTAATTAGAGTGTCTCCCTAGTCATTTCCTTTCAACAGTCTCAACTTATTGTTTATCACAAATGATATATTTTAATAGATAAATATGTGACGACTAATCAAAAAGTCTCTTTAAGAATAAAATATCTTATTTGTATATCAAACCAGAACCTGAAAGATAAGAGATGAACATTATTTTCAAATATACAAAATACATGCTGAAAGACAAAAGTCCTTTGATCCAAGTCTAAGTCCTCTCTATGACGCTGCCCGTGGGGTGTGCTGTGCGCTAGGAGACAGGTCCTCCATGCTGAGAGTCACTCCTGCCTGTTTCTACAACAAAGCAACAAAAGCCAACGTTAGTCACTGGCATTTTCTGAACTGTGATGACAAACACTGTGACTCATCCGCAGCTTATAATTCAAGAAACAAATTACAGAAAAGTTTTAAAAAATTACATGTCAAAATGACACCCCTTTCCAGAGGGACAGTCAAGAAAAACATCTTCCTCACAGTATGAGAGGTTTTCCAGTGTTAGCCCAACAACACCGATCAGATCAGCATGGCACCACCAACAGACACAGCTGGGCTGGTGCTATTTGAGACATTTTCAAAAGTAAAACATGCCCACGGTGATGGTGGTGTCACTGTGCATAAACACAACAGCATGCATTTAAGGGGTTACAGATCTTGACCCTATGAGCTAGAGACTAGCATGCCATTACCCTCATTTTACAGATGAGGAAGTTGAGGCACACAGTAGGTAAAGTATCTTGGAAGAGGAACTGGCATTCAGATCCAGATAGTCTGGTATTACCAGAAAGAGGAGTACAAAATAATTTCAGCACCGAAGGTTTTTTATAGTACGAGAAAACCAAATACTTTGTCCTCACTTACACAGAGCTAAGAAGGTCAGATGGGCGACAGAAGAAGCACTCGCCAGGGAGACATTCTCCACCAAGTAGCCTACCAAAGTAGCGCACATTTATTTCCTAGTTGCTCCTAAGGGTCTAAGTAAATGTTTTCTCAACTGTAAGTGAAGCCACATTACAGGCTGGAAGTACTAATGTCTGCTTAAAAGAACTGATTTTTCCAATCTAAGATATCTTGAATTATGTTGCTTCAAATATAAGGCAGCAAGAACATGAACATATAAATCATCTGTCAATTTACTGGTGAACAAATACTTCATAACTTTAAAAAGGACAAAAAGAAAACAACAAGCAAAAAAAAGGCAGGTGGGGAAAGGGGCCCAACTTTTTCAGACTATGTCTGATACTCTGTTGTTTTATAACCCAGCTTCTTTTTCCACCTTTATTTCTATCCAACTATTTCAAATGATATTTTCTTAGTTCTAGAAGGGGAGGAGAGATGCTGACAAACTAACGACTGCCAGGCAACAAGAATGCAGAAACCATCTGGAGACCGCTTTTGAAGGATGTTTCCTCAGGATAAGAGTCTTTGCTTGTCTTTAAATATCAAGGGTGCTCAAGTGCTAGAGAAAGCAAATTTAGGTTCCTTTCTGGAGACGAAGGCAATGGCAAAAATTACACTGGTTTGTGCTTTGCTCCATACAAGTAAATTCCTCCCCCTGAGAGCCTCAAGGGCCCAGCTGCCTTCCAGGGAAGGTGCTTTCGTCCCAGAGGGAGGTGGGCAGCTGGGGACCTACCACAGTTCAAATTTCCACCTTTCTGATGCTCTTTTGAAAAGCAATTCTCCCCCTTTTTCCTTCCACAATGCAGTCTTTTTCCCTCTGCCGATTTAAAACTTAAGTTCTACTACTTCTACCTTTGCCTCACAGGTACTAAACATGCTTAAAAAGACAAACTGATCCAGTTCGAATATTACTGATCTGGAAAAATGTGCTTCCTCTTTCAGACGGCAAAATTCAAAATTAGAAGCATGAATTCTTCCCAGTTAAAGTAATCTGTAAATTAATTCAATTGCAATAAAAATTCTGATTGGACTTTCTTTTACTTAGCAAAATGATTTTAAAACTAATCTCTAAAAAATGCAGAATAGTCCAGTAACTTTTTAGAAAGAATAAACATGAAAGAATTTGTCTTGCTTGGCAAATATCAAAGCATATTATTCACAAGTTGTTGTTATTCACTGAACAACATTAGGAAATGTTAAAACATTTGGGGAAAATATAGGTTAGTTATATCTCCCTCTTAGGCTACGTGGAGTAAAGATTTAAATGTAAAATACAAAACCACAAATATTACAGAAATGTAGGTTAATATTTTTATGATCCTGAGACTTTCCTAAGTTAGCACACTGTAAAAGGCAGAATCATGAAAGAATGAAAGCTGAACTAGATAACAGACATTTCTATCTAGCAAAAACATAAGAAGCCACAGGACACAGAAACTGGGGGAGAAAACATAGTACTTATGACAAAGACAAAAGAGCTCTTATAATCAATTAAAAAAAATATTTTTTCTCCATAGAAAAATAAGCTAAAGATGAAATGGGCAACTCATTAGAGAAGAAATATAAATGACCAACAAATATGATAAGGCAGAAATCTTATCAGTAATAAAAGAAATGTGATTCACTATTTTACCTATCAGAATGACAGAAAACCATCAGATCAGTGGTAAATATATACACCTAGTGATTTTAAAGTGTTACTGATAATAGAAGTCCATCAACAGGGCATGGTTTAAAGAAATTACAGTAAATCTGCAATATAGTACCATGCAGCTATACAAAATCACGTAATCTATCTGTTGAAACAGAAAAAGCTTCATACATTAAGATAAAAAACAGGTTATCTAGTAGCATATAAATGATATTCTCCTTATCCTTAAATAAAGAAAAACACCTGGAAAGATATTTATCAAAAAGCTGAAATGGCACTTCTAGGTGAGAGGTTATGTTTTCCACTTTTCCTTCGCGTTTTTTTGCATGTTATTTCTTCATTTTGTTTCAACTACTGACAACATCATTTGTTTTATAACCTGCAAGCTACTCACCTAGTAAGGCTGTGTTTTCTCCTGAATCTTCCTTGAAGATGGCTTCACCCTGAGGCACCGATTCATGGGACAACGATGGTGAACCATTCCCATCACGCCTGTCATCGCCTTGTAAAGTAATCAGGTTCGCAGCCACAGTACCAGGGGCAGGTTCTGGTGGGGGTGTCTCCTGCACATCCTCAAGCTCTCCCGTGAGAGGCAGAACAAAAGAAAATGCCTTTTCTAAATACATGGTCAAAGCTTACCTCCATCATCTTTTGCTTACAAACATTTCTTTTTATACATGAAATGGAGTAAAGAGTATACCAGTATCTTCACTTGGCATTTCAGAAAATGAATTACTTCTCAACAAGCAGCTTTTCCAAGACCTAAATGTTTTTATTCCAAAACCCACTTTTCCCCCTTGATACAAGCAGTCCCCATTTAAATTACTGACAGAAAGAGAAGCTTTGTCACAAACACACCATCCTGCCTTCCTGAGCCTGGCCGTCTGCTGCTCACTCCCTGTCCAGCCATGAGCCTGAATTACTGTGTCTAACCACACTCTACCCTAACTGCGTCTACCTTCCCACTCCACTTGGTTTTACAGCTAGATGCTAGACTTTTGCAAATTAACAAGGTTTCTGCACAACAAAGGGCCTCAAAACTATTTTGTTCACTCAAAAATAATCTCTGCTTCCTTCCTTAGAGAGTGTCTGTCAGCTGCCTGTTTGCCTCTAACGTCCATTTGCTGCTTTAAAGAAGAAGAAAAGGCTGTGAAAGTGCAGCTGAGCCGCTAAGTGCTACTACATTGAGTCTGAACAGCTGAAGACCCTGGATACCTCTTCTGATGAACGCCAGAGGCAGAGCTGTGTTGTAGACAGGGGGAAACCACTGCTCAGGTGACCTCACTGTGGGTTCATGGTGAGCCTTGGCTCGGACTGCCACCTCTGCTTCAAATGAAAATGCTGCCCATCCCACATGCCCTCTCTGGGCTCTCAGGGCCAAGAGCAACTTTAGCCTGCTGCTCCCACTGTCGTCTCCCTGAGGTCTCCACCCACCTCCTGCCAATACCATATGGCACACCACCTTCCTGTCACTAGTAACTCAACACCCTCAGAACTCGACTCCTGACACACCAAGCCACAAATCTCACTGAGGCGCCATCATCTGTTTTTCCAGGTATTTATCTGAATACCCTCCCAACTTAAGTACCTGCCAGTCTCCAATCCTACACGTTCAGACCCCTGTGAAGTCCCCACCAATCTGCAAGATACTCATGTGTCTGACAAATCCTTGGACACCCAGCTCAGACTCCCTTGGAAAATGACTCTCTTTACCTTCCCACTCCACTTGGCAGAGTAAAGTCCTTCCTCTGCACTCCCACGGTGCTCCAAACACACCTTATTGCCATGCTGTGTTTGGGTGTATACCCTGGCACCCCACAAGTCCAGGAGTGGAATCCCCGAGAGCCCATGAGTGGGGGCGCTGTGTCTTACTCATCTCTGTCTCGCCAGAGCCAAGTTCAGATCTAACACCTTAGACAGCATTCTTGGACAAAGCTTGCTAAAGGAATGAACACAAGAGTGACAAATGGTACAAAGTGGTTAGAGCTGAAACCCAAAGATCAGCTTTGAGGTCTGCGTGAAGGGCTGGTGGCAGCTCTCACTGTGGTCATTTTCTTGAAAATGAGAACTAGTTATCATACAAGAGTATGAGTCTAATCATCTATGGAACCCAATGCAGGAGGGGCCAAAGGGCCTACAGAAGATGGTCTATTTGTTAAAAGATTAAAAAAAAAATTATGGGCAAAAAAAAACCCTGATCTCTTAGTATGATTTAAAGTCACTACTATAGGTTTCTGTTCTTCAAAAGAGAAATTACACTTTCTGGGGTTACATATTCTAGCTTTACGAAATTACCATTCTAACAAAGCAATCCAGCTTTAGGTAAAATAAATAATCTTAAATTTTAATATATGAAATATACATGTAGATATATTTCCAAAAAAACCTCATGAGGATTAAAGTTGCAATACTAAAGGTCCATGAAATTTCTTTTATAGACACTTTTTTTGACACTTTTTGAAGTAAAAAGATTAAAATTACTAATTCAGAAAATAACAAAATGAGTTTCAGAGTGTATCTAATGAAGGAAAGGAAGAAGGGAAAGGGGATGAAGGAAAACTTTTCAAGAAGAACATCTGTCAAGCTCTCTGTATTCTATTGCTTAAAATGTCCTCCCAGGAAGGTGCATGCTCTTGTCTGAGCTGCAGTCACTGGAGCACAGAGGGGTCAGTGGAGTTCACTGACAAAGCATGTTATGCCAGGCTAAGCAGAGCCATCATTATTAACAGCTGTTAATAAATGAATGCTGGAAATTCTAGAGGAAAGACAAGTTTCCTAGACGTGAAAGAGGATTAGTTCTGTACTAGGACAGTTCTTGAATGCTGACTTTCCCCCTCTCTGTGTTGGTATGGTGAGGGCATTCTTGAACTCACAAATGAAAAATATAATTCACAGAGAATTACAGGGGGTTTAAGGCAATGGTCTCTCGACTATCTTTCGGAGACACACAGAGCTAGAAGATGAGAGGACACTTTAAGCAGACCTGTGGCCTTAGGGGCTGGTATGACTTTAAGTTGCATCAAATGACTATCATAAAACAACCTCTTTGCAGTTCCTAACTCTACAATAAACACTACAAAAGCTCTAGAAATGTGTTTAGCAATAAAAGATCGATACTTAAATTTTTTCAAAGATCTTTACTTCAAAACTATTTACTATTTAGTAAAGAATATTTTGAAACATTAATTCATGACATGAAGACTCTAAAAAATTAAAAAGTCACAATCTGGATTTGTCCTCAATGTCTCTCCCATTCTGGGGAGGACAGTAGTTGAATTAAGTAGTTGGAATTAAGCAAATGTGTGTGAAAGCTGAGCCCCCATTAACCAGGGTGTGAACTCAGGCGAGTTACTTAACTAGCTTCTCGAAGTCCAAGTTCCGTCCAAGTTCCTACCAGGCGGCAGTAGCACTTACCTCAGCGCAGTCATGAGGACTGCCCGCAGCAGGCTACCGTGACGTGCCGTCACTTTGCCTCCGTGTCTTTTTCCCAGGAAGGCCCTATGACCATCTAAGTATCACAAACTGGAGGAGCAAATCCAATGCCAGACAAAGGTGCCCAGGAGTATCTGATTTTGAAACCCAGGACTTGAGAGAACTGGTGTCAAGGAGTGTTGGCTTCAGTTTCCTTATATGTAAAATAACACACCTTGGGCCAGAAAAATGTATGAAGCTCCTTTCATTTCAGAGATTTTTAAGACTCTTGTTTATAGGAAACTGATTTTGCACATATACATTCTGCAGTGTAGCATATCAAAATATACTGTTCTATGTAATTACAAACTCTCTGGGGGAACATCTAGCATGTTATTCTATAATCACAAATTTAATGCATTAATTTTTTTATAATGTCTTAAAAATTCATTTTTAATAAAAAGGAAATTTCTTCAGGGACCCACAGGATGTTAGAAGGAGCATTTAATTCATTCCTCTTGCCTCTGGTCAGTAACAAATTTGAATCACTCAGGGAGAACCGGGGCAGAGATTGAATATAAACAAAAATGTAACAAACCCAATATCCCAGGGCTTTGATGACATCAAGTTTACACATTGGACACGTGCGGTGATCCAAAAGCCATGGGTCAATGCATATTCTATGAAAAATATGCCTAAAAAAATTAAGTATGTGTTAATGCTTTAAAATAAATGTTTATATCTTATAAAGGAAACAACACATTCTACCAACTCATCCTCTCATTACCAGTTAAATGACGTCAAATCAACATTCTAGTCTATTCACTTACCCTAAGTAATTATCTATTCTATTTCCCATGTTAAACAGAATCTGTCACTGAAAGAAAAATTTTCCCTTCACTCCACAAAAACAGCATGGTTTATTCCCACCTCATGCTAGGCTGTATTTTGATTTGCCTCTGTAAGTTACTTGAAAACCTTTTGGAAATAAATATGGCATAAATAAACCAATAGTAAACTAACAGTAAGTAATAAACTCATACTAAACTGGTAGTCTCTTTTATAGTCCATAAAATGATATTAAAAGTATCACCTTTGGGTTATAGTCTTAAAAAAACACTTATTTTCTGTCAGGTATTTCTGTTTACTCTGCATTTTGCTGTAGTGAACACCTATCACTTCTCAGAATCAAAAAAGGGAAAAAATTGTGTATGTATTTCCTTCTGTTACTGATTTATCTTAGTTGGCTGGCTTTTCCTCCCATGTGATGAAGCCGTTTTCTATGAGTGATGAAGATAAGAAGTTAGGAGTGCGGGTACTGGAGCCAGACAGACGGGCTCAAACACCCGCTCTGTGACTTGATGCTGTGACTCTGAACTCAGCAAACATGTAATGTGCTTCCAACAGTGCCGGGCACAGTATATACTCAGTAACTGTCCATCACTCTTGTCATTGGTGACATTTGGAAGTCTTTTCTTCATACAGAAATCTCATGCAGTCAAAAAAAGTAATAGTACTTAATTACATCAGATAGTCTAATCCAGCTGACTTTTGACATTTCTACCCTCAAACTGAACATGACTGACCCAAAGGAATAATTTTTACAAAAACACAACATGTTGGCTTTACTGGGAAATTTATTACAGGAGAAAATGGGGGAAAAAACTAAAAACCCTAATAAAGAGACCAGGAAATGTGCACATGTAACACCTCTGCTTATGAGGGTCAAGTACAAAACCCATGTCAACCACAGGGATGTATCTGATGCTATAAAAATTACCCTTGGCTGTTCAATTGTGCAGCATCCTAAGCATTACCTTTTGAGTTGGAAAGACTTGCTCTAAACTATCCTTGAAAAAAAATGCTTTTCTACTGTAATATTTCTATAGCACAGTGATCAAGCCATACTGATCCCAATTCATTAAGTACCCACTACACCAACCCCATATAAATACCTAGAGATTTAAGTTAGCTCTCTTTATTCAGGTAACTTGCATTTTGCTATTCTGATATTCACTGATTTCCTCACAGAATTACTGAGACCTTAATCCAGTACAAAGTATCTGTGATATGCTAAAGTACTCTGCAAACATGCAGAATGCAGCCACGTATTACCTTGTGACCTGCTTCTCATAATAGGTGCAAAGTATAATGAAAATCAACGAGACCTAAAACACATTATAATTTTTTTACATTGTTCTAACAATGCTTTAAAAAAGTTATCAATTAAAGTATCCCATTATTAAAAAGGAAATCACAACCCCTTGTTGCTAAAACCAAGCCCCTAGTGTAACTAAAGGGAGGAATATTTATTTTATAGAACTCCAAAAAGCACTGAAGCCTAGGTGCAAATAACAGCAAAGCCCTCCCCTGACCTACTTCCTGCCAGTCATTTCCTAGCCTCTCCCTGACTGGGTCTTTCATCTGCCTTGCTTCAGTTTCCTTACTCCCCAAAAATACACTTTTTGGATCACTAAAAGTATAATGGAATTCCCAGGAGTCTAGCAAAGCCTTACTTAAGACTAAAAGCCAGTCTATGACAAAGACCAAAGTCTCCAGGCAAAGGAATTTTAAAGTAATACCATCCAGGCACCCTGAAGACATGAAGCTTCTTGTCTAAACGATGAAATGATCACAAGATCATCACAGATGGCAAGATCTTCATATTGTAAAAGACACATAAATCTTTTATAAAACTCTTTTTTAAACCTAAAAATTATCCAAAAATTTTTAACATCTCAGGAGGTAAAAACATACCTGCATGGCAGAATTCTGATAACATCCTTTACTTTAAAGTTTTCAATACACACTGCACAATTTTCAGCATCAACATCAATTCCCTGTAAAAAGAGAGAAAAGAAATTTATCATATCATTGATATAGATTATCACCTTGGTAAAACTCACTGCATCCTGTGGAAAACAGTGATGAATTCTACTCTACACTGGTACAACCTGAAACTAAATACAATTTCTACTTTTTTCCACCATCAAAACATTGCTAAAAAGAATCTGGCAGAAAAGGAAAAAAATGTCATTATCTACCTAATCAGGCATGAATGGTAGGTATTTAGATATGAGGGTAGTATTCATTTTTTTTTAAGTGTTCAGGTTTAAAGGGTTGTAGAAATGCAAATGCCTGTTTTACCATGTGATAAATTATTTTTCAAATATAAAACTTATAAAGTGAATGAATATCCAGCAAGTTACTTATTTTCAGTAATCATCAAAAACAAAAATGAGAGCACTTTAGAATTAGAATTTGCTGAAGAACAGAGTTACAGCTTGCAAATAAGAAAATGCAAATGGGCTAAATATGTGAAAATATTCACTTCACTAGGGAAAAAAGAATTACAAATTAAAGTAAGTTACCATTTTTCATTTATCAAATTAACAAAGGTAAAAAGAAACAAAAATTGCTGGGGAGGAAGCTATCTTGTGATGAAATTTCCTCTTCTAAGAATCTATGGGTTCTAGACCTTTCCAGTGGTGTTCCCCTCCTCCCCAATCTACCCAGCTGGTCTCATCCCATCAAACAAAGCAGGTGGGCCCAGAATGGTCTTCTGACCCAAGACAGACCAATGAGACTCTCTTTCCCAGGATTCTCATATGGATTCAGGAACTACCAATCAGCCTCTGCATGTGGCTGCAACTTTATGGAACATGGCTACACCATCCTCACATAACTTACTTAAAAATATATTTAGCCATGTGCATCAGTTGTTGGCAAGCAATAAAAATTCATTTATATGTAATGTTATCACAGATTATATTAAAATTAACTTTATTACATTTAAAATATATGTTGCAGCTAAAGTGAATATTATCACTTATTTATCATATGACATGTAAAAATGATTAAGTAATTTTTAAAGTCCCTAATGGTTGCAAGTTTATACATTTACTGTGATAGAGTCCATGAGAAATGGAAAATTAGAAACCAAACACCAGTCTCCAGAATGGATAAAATGTAGATTTAAGAAAATACAACATTTTTCTGTGTAAGTTTAAAATGCAAAATTATCGGAAAATCCATGTATATACCTCATGGACTGTTTAGGGATCCTTTATTAAACCATTATTTTGACAACTTTCAAAAACAGCCCATGGTATCAGATTTTCAAAAATGTCCTGTATAGAAAGAGGATAATTATAATTTACTTATATTCTCAAAGACTTGATTCAGTAAACTGCATGATTTCATTTATATGTAGAATCTAAAAAACAAAACAAGTGAACAAACAAAACAGAAAGAGACTCATGAACACAGAGAATAGACAGGTGGTTGCCACAGGGGAGATAGGTGGAAGGACGGGTGAAAAAGGTGAAGGGGGATAAATTAGTGAGAATGTTTGATATTTTGATCTAGGTAAAGGTTATATGAGTGTACACATGTCAAAAGTCATCAAGCTGTACACTAAGATTTGTGCATTTATTCTATGTACCTCAGTATAAAAAAATTTTTTTAAGGAAAAAATAAATAAGGGGAGGGGAATCAGCAGAAAAACCCAACAAACAAAAAGCTACATATTTGCTAAGCAGCTGGTATGCCCAACACATGCAGAATTTGTCCTAGGCATTCACTGGATACGCTCTCCCCAAGGAACCCAGTGATGTGACATTAGATGCTAATCCCAAGCCATGAGATGGGAAACTGATTTTTAACTTTTTCGATTCAATACATCTGCATGGAAAGAGATCAGTACCCTGCACAAACTATTAAAATTCAACTGTTACTTCAATGTAAAAGGCATTAGGGAAGGAATGGCAGCCAAAAATACAATTCCAAGAGGATTTTAATATTAAATATATAACATAAGCCATTAATATCAGATTCCAAAGTTTTTAAAAAATCAAAAAAGGTCTATAACTTACTGTTATTTCTGTTTTAAACCCTCAAGTTGGTCAGAGGAATATATATATATATAATCTCCTGCGTGTGATCTGTTCTTTCCAAGTTTTAGCCTTCTATCTGTGTTATCTTAACTAAATCTAGGTTATTCTGGTTACTTCAAGATGAAGTTTGGTGAGAATTCAGTACATCACAAATTGCACAATGTTCAATAGAACAGAATAGACAGTCCAGAAATAAGCCCAGGCATATATAGCCAAATAATTTATGACAAAGAGTCCAGGACTATACCATCAGGAAAGAGCAGTCTCTGCTATAAATGGTGTTGGGAAAATTGGACAGCCACATGCAAAAGAATTAAACTGGATCACTGACTTATACCATACACAAAAATTAAATCAAACTAGATTAAAGACTTGAACATAAGAACTGAAATCATAAAACTCCTAGAAGACTTAGCAGTAAGCTCCTTTACAGGTCTTGACAATGCTTTTTTTAATCTGACACCAAAACCAAAAATAAGTGGGACTACAAACTAAAAGCAAATTGATTTGTTTCATGCATCTGTGTTTATGCCAGTACCATACTGTTTTAATTATGACTCCTTGGAAACATACAATAGGGTATTTACTCTTTTTTTTTTTAAGGGGAATAGAGGGTGGTATAGATTAAGTCCCAAAAATTTGGTGAGATAAAAATCAAACAATTAAATCAAAACAATTGAACCAACTCATAGCAGTAAGTCAACACAGTTATCAACAATCACAGCACAGAAGATGGACTATTAAAATAACACTACTGCAGTAGCAGCTATTTTCATTAACGAATCTCTCCTCTAAGAATCTGAGGTTCTAGATTAAGGATTTGTCCTATTCAAAATATACTTTAAAATTCTAGTATGCTTTTGAGTTTATGTCTCAGGTTGGCCATTTCAAAATGTTTCTTTTTTTAAAAAGCAGTTTTAATTATATCTTTTCTCCCCTTCTGCATAAATCCCAGTATTTTCTTCCCTAAAATTATGGCAACAAGAGAGAATAGATACATAGCCTCAGATTTAATAGAAATGAATTAAAGTATCGGGGATCTGTGGTATAGACTTTAAGTTCTTTAGAGTCATTTGGGTTAGACCAATAGGTAGGACTTTCTTAGATGATGGAGCTGTTGGTGGTGTGCGGTACAACAGATGTAACTCAAGCTAGCTAAAACTCCACATTTCATGCTGTCAATTTCGCAGACCAGAAGGTATTACTTAGACATATAAACATATGTATTTTAGCCTAAAAACCAAAAGAAAAGGAAGCCATGAAAATATTACCTTTTCTCCATGCTTTACAGTATGAAGTGGAAGTTGGCCAATAACTTTCTTAGTTTCTTTTCTATGGCTCTTAAGTAAGAAAAATATTATTATTACTATTGTTGAGAGATTTAAGTCACTATGTTTAAAAACTCACATCTTATAAGGAAGCTTACAGAAATAATTTCATTTAAAAGGCAAAATTAAATGACTACAATGGGACTAAAAAAAACACTTTTAAAAAATTACCATTTAAGTCTTAATGTATAGGACAGCCAGTTAACTTAGGAGCTGTTTGATCAAGAATACTTATTTTCACCATGTCAGAAGAAAAAAACAATTCTTACGCTTCAATATTGACAAGAGAGAAATACGCTGAGGGTGGAGGTACCACACATTAATGTCCTACAAGGAAAGAGGCTTCCCGGCAGTCAGGTGGAAGATGACCCAAAATGATCACAGAAGCCTCTGGCTCTTCAACTGCCCTCCTCCTTGCTATTACTCTCCCCGCAGGTGAATGGCAAGCCGCTCCCCACCGGAGAAGGGAGGACCTTCTCCCTGCCTCTTGCCTTTGAGCCCTGGGTTCCCTTTTTAAACAAATTAACTAAGTCCATTCTACTTCATGTCTTAGTAGCAGGAGCAGAACATGCAAAAAGTCATCTGGATTTAAAGGCATCTAATTTCCCACAGAAAATTTAATATATCCTAATCAAAAAGTTATTTTTAAGAAAAACTAAATATTATGGGTGAAAATGAAATTTGGATTAGAGCACTGAAAAAAAAAGGTTCAACATAACTTCAAGCAATACATATGGGAAATATTTATGAACTACCTTTTAAAAAGCAAAGTTAAAAAGAGTTCCCCATAATTACCTGACTTCCAAACTGTGAACCCGTATATAGGAAACGCTGTATATAGTAAAATATTAGCCAAGCTAATGAAATAATCATCATGGTGATGAAGGCGATGGCCACAAACACCACAGACTGACTGCTGATGAACTCTTGGACGTGACGGGTGCCAACCCCTATGGTCATTTTGACTGGAATTCCATTTTGCACAAGATCCACAATTTCTCTTCCTTTTGGGTAACTAACCATAATGACTACTATATTTCCTGTTCCTGTAAGAAACAACATAAGAAATCTATATGAAGATATGAAGAACACAAAATAAGATTCAGAGAAAGAGAATACAATGGTTTCCATGCATAAATGTCTGAAAACTTGGATTACATTAGAGGTAGAATAAATCACTAAAAACCAACCCCTCAAAAGTAAAATCCCCATTCAGCATTCAGTTTCACGGGTAAAACTGAAATTTCTACCACCAAACATCTCAAGATGAGTAACCCCAGTGATATTTATGCTGTTCCACAACAGATTTTAAAAAATTAAAAGTTTAAAAATGATTTTTAAGATAATAAAACCAAATGTGGTAAACAAAAGAACCATACAGACCAAATTCACTTACAAGTATTTAACATACTGCCTAAAGCATGCCTGTTAAACTCAGGGAGGCAATCCCGGGATTCCTACTGTGATCACTGTTATTTAACATTGCTCTGAAGGCACGAGCAGACATGATACAAAAAAAAAGAGAGAGGGAAATAGAAAAGGGGTATAAGAATCAGTCTACATGTTATCTACAAATTAATATAAAAGCCATAAAATATCAATAGATTTTTTTAAAAGCTTAAAAATGCTGCTTCTGAAGTTCCCTTAGGGGAAAAATAATCAAGAATGAGCACTTCGCCTGGCCTTGCCTTTATAAGTAATTAAAGCAGTGTGACAGTAGCCTATGAAGACAACAAAAATAATGAGGCAGAATTAGAAGTCCAGAAAGTAGACCCAAATATATAAAAGCATTCAGTATATGATAAAAATGTAATCTCAAAACAATGGGATAAAATGGATTATTAGGAGAAAAAATGGGGATAACTGGGTGTCGTCTGAGGGAAAGAAAAACTGCATTCTTTCCTCACAACCTATGCTAAAATAAATTTCAACTAAGCCAGAGATTTAAAGATATATATTCTGGAAACATAAAAAAGCCAGAAGAAATACAGGAATTAAAAAATATATAATATTGGAGAAACCTTTCCAAGTATGAAAAACTACCTCAGGGATTCTTAAAAAAAAAAAAAGATTTGACCAACTATATAAAAAAGAAAATTTTCTGCAATGTTAAAAAAACACAAAGTCAATGAATCAAGATCAAGAGAGCAAAAGGCCAATTGGGGAAAAACACATGTAACAGAACAAAGAAAAAACTAACTTCCTGTAAGAAAAAAAGCAACAGAAATATAAGGACATCAGAAAAGAAAATACAACTGGCTTTTTTAAAAAAAGCAGCTTTAGTGATATAATTCACCTGCCAAAAAATTCACCCTTATAAAGTATACATTTCAGTGGTTTTAGTATATTCGCAAAGGGGGTGCAACATTTTCATCACTCCAAAAATAAAGCCTGTATACTTTCAGGGTCAACCCCCAACAAATGGATTTTAAACATACGAAAAGCTGTGGTACAAATGAAAACATTATACAGACCTTCCTCAACTTAGGATGAACTATGTCCTGATAAACCCATCCGATGTTGAAAATATCCTAAGTCGAAAATGCATTTAAAACACCTACCAAACATCAGAGCTTAGCTAGCCTACTTTAAACGTGCTCGCAGAACTTCCACTAGGCTACAGTAGAGCAAAATCATCTAGCATGAAGACTACTTTATAATGAAGTGTTGACTAGCTCCTGTAATTGACTGAATACTGTACCAAAAGTGAGAAATAGAATAGTTATCTGGGTGCAGAAGAGTGTCAGCGTCCAGGTTGCTTACCCTCCTGAATGCTGGTCTGCCCAGCATCACAACAGAGTATCGTATGGCCTGTCACTAGCCTGGAAAAAGCTCAAAATTCAAAATCCGAAGTACAGTTTCTCCTGATTCGGTAGCGCTTTTGCAAGACTGTAAAGTCGAAAAACTGTACACACAAGATAGACAAAAATTTAAGTTTTAACATACTATACCGGCAGGAGTGAGCACAGATCTACTCTCTTGTGCAATGCAAAGAGAGTGAATTATTACATTCTGGTACTGAGGGCAAAGGCTATAAAAAAATGCTTGAACACACATGTCTCTTTGACCCAGCAATTCCACATCCAAGAACTTAATTGCACAGGTATACTTACATATGTATATCAGGTACCTGTTAAAGGTATTTATTGCCAATTTATTTTCTAAGTTTTTGCCATCACAATCTAAACATCCATCAATAAGAAAAGTTATATAAATTACAGTATGTGTATACAGATTAAGGCAGCTTATCTGTTAGTACTGACAGTCATCAAGATGGCAAACGAGGAAAAAAGCAACATGTAAAACTGTGTGGACAAAAGATCAACGAGATCTTATCAATACAGACTCCCACTAGAAGGCTGCCCAGAGACTGCAGACCCTGACTGCCTCGGGGGAGAGAAGTTGGACACAGCAAAAAATTCTGTACCATGTGCACATATTATCTATTCAAAAACTATCTTTACAAATACATATAAAGAATGTTCTTTGGTGCTACACTGAAAATGCATTTTAACACTATTTTATTGTAGAGAGAAATTTTGTCTGTAGCAAATCCACTGTGGCACTCAGCCATTGGGATTTAGTTATACCGAAGCACCAGAAAGGCACCATTCTAGAGTGGCTCCTGTCTTGAAGCTGATCATATGACCGGGGCCCTCAAAGTGTCACTCAGCAGGAGCCAGAGTTTTCCCGGCACCCACACAGTCGCCCATGTCACCACTGGGGAGACACAATGAGTAGGGCAACTCCTGCCTTCAGGAAAATAAACCTCTAACAGCTAAGAAAGACAAGCACAGAAGCATTGATAGTTACATACCACTTACAATTAGACAGCACTTCATAAACTGAAGGACTTTTTTTATAAACCTCCTTTTGCGGAAAACTTTAAATGTATACTAAAGTAGAAAGAACGGTATATAATGAACCCCATATATCTATATCAGAATTTTTTATACAGAAAACAAAACTGTTTCTGTGCCATGGTTATAGCCACGGAACATTTCTGGTACTGATATGGTTCTTTGTGTGTTAATGGGGAAAACCAACTTTGAAGCAGTTTCACATTTATATCTCACTTGAAGCAGAAAAAGGCCAAATTTTTATCTTATAGATGGGGGCTCAGAAATCTTAACAGTTCAATGTCATGCTCAGTGTCATACACCACCCTGAAAAGCCAGTACTAGGGTCTAAAGATGTGGTTCCTGGGCAGCATCCCCCCCACCCCGCTCCCTCATGGTGGAGGATACAGGTTGCAAGGCCACAAAGGTAGGGTTTCAATCTCACTCTGCTGTCCACTGTCTGGGTCTGCAGCAACTACCCTCTCTCTGAGAATATTTCTTCAGCTATGATAGGAAGATGAGAACTTTTCTATTTTGGACTGTCTTTAATTAAAAAAATGGAATATAAAGAGCTGCAGAAATGAAGTGACAATTCTGTCTGGGGTGACAGGGAACACTTTCCTTGGGAAGTGCACTTCAGCTACACATCTTGAAGGACAAGAAAAGTTTACCAAGCAAAGGAAGGAAGGTTTTCTAGGCTATGAAATTATCATAAATACTTATTTAGGATGGTGACTGATCCAGTTTGGTTAGTGAAGTAGTCTTCCCTTTTCTATCCGAACACTCCCAGCGGACACCTGAAACATCACATAGTACAGACCCTATGTGTTTTCCTATACACACACACCTATGATAAAGTTGAATTTATAAATTAGGCACAGTAATAATAAAATAGAACAATTATACTGCAAAAAGTTAAGTGAATGAGGTCTCTCTCTCACACAAAATACGTTATTGTGCTATATTCACCCTTGTAGGTGATGATGGCAGACGATAAATGCCTATGTGACAAGATGACACGCGTTGAAGGACACAGGCCCTGTGATGTAGGTTAGGCTGCTCCTGACCCTTCTGACCATATGTCAGGAGGAGGATCATCTGCTTCTGGACCAGGTAACTGAAACCACAGATAAGGGGGGGACTACTGTATACATAAAGGTGTCTTGTTCATCTCATTATCCCCAGTGCCTCACCCTGAACCTGGCACATCCTGTGTGTTTAATATTGTTGAATAAATGAATGCATGAACTCAGAGATGGAGGACTAAGGGAGATCAGAGTTCTTGAACACTGAAAATCTCAAGGATGGGGGCTACTGACTCCGCGATTGTCAGGACACCCTGAACGGCAAGTGCTTGTAATATCAAGCTGAAACTTTTCACCTAGGAAATTGATCTTAGTTCACTGAATTAAAAGAAATCACATGCACAGAAAATCCTGTCACTTGCAAGAGGGCTAAACTACTTGCTAAACTCTAATTATAGCAGCAGAATTGCTTCTGGAAATGACTTTAATAATAAACTCAGAGCAAGGACTCATTCCAGCCTTGATATGCTTTTCCACGCCATTGCTCGGGGTGAACTGAAGGCAGGGCACTGAGTAAAAATGCGCTAGCTCATGGGCACTGTGGGCACCCAAGGGATGCCAGGCACAGGCACCTTGCTCCCACCTGCCCGTACCTCCTGACGCATGGCCATCTTCCAGGGTCAATCTGAGGCAGCCTGAGTGGCACATGAGACAAATTATAGCTTATTTCCAGACTAAATAGCTGAGTTTCTTCTCAGAAGGCAGGCTTCCCAAAGACTTGGGATGGGAGAAAAAGCTCTTAGAAATTTTTTTCTTCCCTAGCCCTTAACACTGCTACCAAACATGCTTGTCTAAAACAGGTCATCTTGTGCAATCTGTCTCCCTGCTGCAAAGAATCTGTATGCCTCACCACAAGACTGGAACTCTCCTCAAAGGCAATTTTACTTTTGTCTTACATTTAGCACTGGTCTTTGCATGCAGTACTGATCATAAAACTACTTGTCAAATAATAATCACCAAATACAGTATTCTTTAGCAAACCAGCTTATCCATAATCTAGAACTCTCATGTGCTCAAAATAGAACCGCACTTTATTTCCATTTCCTTTCAAATTTGTTTTCTCTAACCACCTTCAGAAGCAAAAAAAAAAAATTCTGTTTTGGCCCATAGATTTAAAAATTCTGGAGTGTTACCTTTCAGTCTAGGAAACTATATACAGTGGTTTTCAACATTCTCTTGAAGGATATGGGAACTACTGAAATATTTAAAGTAGTGGATTAGATTTCTGTTTTAGGAAACTAATCTCAGGCAGCAAGAAATACATTCTAGCTTCCAGCAAGAGAATCTGATGAGCTTTCAGGTTTTCTTTTTTTTCTTGTAACTTTTTCCACTGTTTGCCCCCCAACCTGGAAAATTCCTAGTCAAATCTCTTAACGATTCAGCACAAGCACAACTCCAGGCTTTTCAGCATCAACAACCCCTTTGTGTATGCTATGTATCAATGCCTGTCAGATCCACCTCTTTGTACACACTTACTATAATTTCTTTATAGGTCTCTCTCCCTCACTGAACAAGTACTACGGGTTCTTCCTACTTTTTGTAGCCTGGCATTATGCAGTGATTGCCCAGATAAGGACTTCTGTATGAATGAACCTATCTGAAAAATTGGCTTACCTTCTAGAATTACAGTTGAAATGACCTAGTAAAGAGAATAGTATAGTATCCTTTCCAGGGGAAATAGTACACCAAATATGAATGTAAAGATCTCCAAAATTCAGAGCTATTATGCAAAACAAATGTTTTTATGGCCAGTGAGGTCTAGTTAGGAAGACCCAAAAATAAATTTGATTCTCTTCTTGGAATTTTAAATTGTTTTAAATAATCTGGCTTGCTCACAAATATCTTGTATTTGTTGAACACACTGCTCAACAACCTTATCTAGAACTCTCTGCAGTTTTCCTATAGGCATTATTTATCACAGGCCTTCATCCTTCTGCAATGCTTTTCCTGCCACCCAGAATGTTCTACAGCCACCCTCCCTACCCCTCACTGCACCCAAGCACCCAAAGATACCTCCATAAACTTATCTTTTAAGACTGAACCTTTGTTGGAACTGTCCTAATTAATCCCACCTTCTGTGAGGCTGTGAAGTACCATTTCTGTTTTCCTTCTAAGTATCGAAATACATTGTAATTCAAATCTAAATTTTTTTGATCATTTGTGAGTTCAGCATTAAAGATCATCTAGAATTTATTATTCATAAAAGACTATTTACCATGCTATGCAAATACAAAATCCACATCTTCCTTAAGGTCAAGGGCTTTTAGATAATCTCCCTCCACCCCAACTCTAGTCCCTTCTCAACATAGCTCTAAACCTTGCACTCGATAACTGTTAACACAACCAAACTGCCATTCTTAAAAGGCCACACCAAGATTTCAGCTAAAAGATCATACCAGTTATTAGCCAACAATTACTACACTAAGGCCAATACTATACACAAGCTTTTGTTTCAATGATTTGACTGGCATCACTTTTAACCCATGTTGGTCAAACTACTTCTTGTCATCTTTGCAACATCCACAGTAGATGTCCTTCCCTTTAGGCCTTCTAAGCACTTCTGCATATAATTCTGTCAAGGTCCAAACTATATTGTCTGGAAAGCTGTTTATCGCTCCCACTAGGCCTCCGACTCCTCAAAGGAGGCCTTGTTTTAGGTGTTTCTATCCCTGAGCAGGCACAATACTTGGGCCAAAGTGGCTGCTCATTACCTGCCTGCCAAAGTAAAGGTAATTAACACTGGGCATTAGTGTAATGGACCTTACAGTTGTTCTGACAAAATATTACCTTAAAATCATAATTTCTTTTTTAGAACCACAATAAAACAGCGATTTAAATCCAAAACAAGCAACTGGATTTAGCAGAGCCAAGCAACAGGTATAAGACCTAGAGAAATTCTCCCTGAGATTTGGGAAGAGACTGCCAGGATTCAGTTTCCAAACAGCCATCTCTACCTATTTTGGAGGACACCAGTGTTACACAGTAACATTGAGAAACGGCATCAGCAGTTTTTAACTGTTTCCAGCCACATTCTGACAAAAACACAAGAAACCTAAGCCTGAGCTGCCATCTGTGTAAGGTTCAGCGTTAACATTTCAAATACAAGTACATGAAAGCTGATTGCTTTTTTGACTTAATTGCTTTCATTCCATTCTTAGTGCCATTCCACTTTCAAAAAGTCATGACACATTTGTACCCTTGTCCCCAGCTGGGCCAAGTACTGCGAGAAACATTCCTTCCTACTCCCGCCTGTCTAACTGGAGTCTCCAGGTTTCACACTGTAATCCATTAGTCACACTGCTACCAAGCTATCTCCCTTTAAATCAGTGGTTCAAAATGTTGGATGATTTTGTCATCCACTCTCCCCCTGGACATTTGGCAGTACCTGGAGATATTTCTGGTTGTCACAACTGGGGGACTGGTACTGGAATCTAGTGGATGGAGGTGAGGGATGCTGCTAAATATTCTGTTGGCAGGTGGCCCCTGCCAACAAAGAATGATGTGGACATGGATCACCTGGTTAGCTTAGGCCTGTCATTTAAATTCCTTAGAGTATCAGTTTTCTCATCTGTAAAACGCGGTTAAAGTACCTGCCTTAAAGGGCTGTCAGGAGGATTAAGTGAGCTGCTGAGTACTGAGTACAGTACCTATGCACTGGGTACTTTCGCACATTTTTAAAAAATTGCTAACTGTGTTACTTATGTATTTTTCCTCAAACAGTATTATTCTCACAGAAAAAGTCTAGAAGGGACACTGATAACAAATAGAACCTCAGGAGAAGAGGATTTAACATAAACACCAAGGCGGCGTTTTTCTGGGCCTGGGTAAATTATAGGTCGATAATGTAGGCAAGCAAGGTCGCTGGACTATGGTTAGAACAAGTGCTGTTAGCCTGGAGAGGAGTTAAGGCCACTGTCAGAAAATGTTGCCAACAGATTTAGAAATGTGTAGGCGATGTGCCTGCCACTGAAAAGAAAAAGTCTACATTAAGATGTTGTGGGCTCAAGAGACTCCAAGGACCCAGAAGCAGAGAATCCTGACACACTAACCTCCTGTCTTTGAGAGAACTACTCAAACTGGAAAACTGGGTGGGTAGACTGTATCTGGAATGCTACGTGAAATCTGACAGGACTTTTCATGATAGTCTGTGGGCACGTGGCTTGGGCACAGCGGCAACTAGGTAGATTTGTAAGCGCTGCAATACCAGCAGCACAGGTGCGGCCTCACCCAATGCCACCATATGGACATCGCACCCGTTTCCTCTCCTAACCCACTCCCTTTCTGTTGCAGCTGAGCCATCTTCCCCCTACTGAGGCAAACAACTCCGCAAGGATCTTGGTCACAGCCGTCTTGCCTTCTCAAAAGACCTGCCTCTTAAAGTTACCTCTTCTCCATCCCGCATTTCTACCAGATCACTCCCATCCGGTTTCAAATATTCGTTACCATCCCCCACCCTCCTTTCCCCACCCTTTTCTCAGCCCCTCCCAGTCAACCATGTGGAAAGAGCTGTTCTCACAGTCTCCACTTCCTCACCTCTCAACTGACTTCCGCTATCACTCTGCTAAACAAAACAGGCCAAATCAAAGCCACTTTTCTGTCCTCATTTTACTGTCAGGCTCGGAATTTGCATTCATGAAGCCAAAACAGAACGAAAAACAAAAGTACAGGAAAAAGGATGTCTGACTCGCAGCAGCAGCAACTTTAAAAAGAGATTTTAATCACAGTAAGTTTAAAATGAGTCATGATCTTGGAAGGCAGAACAGAAATACGTTCACTCTACTGTGTACTGGTCATACAGCACACGGAATTCACTTCTGAGGATGTTATCTTGCAAAATAAAAAGGAAGCCTTTTAAACTGTCAAACTGCTTGAAGATGCAATCTGTTGTCCTGGGGAATAAGTGGGTAGGAAGAGTCGCCTGGCAAAGAGCAAGATCTTTTTTTCAATGAATACAACTTTAAAAATTTCATCTAAACTCAAGACTCAAGGAATGCGGCTGGCAGTAGAGCCAGTATTATAACTTACCTATCCCTACGCGAATAAATCCAGGTTCTCTGACTCAACACTCAGAATATTCAGAAATGCTTTATGAAAACATTTTCATAAAAGAGGTGAGGAGGAAACCACTGTGCCACGACGCACCACTTTACGTTGGTGAAGGGGCAGCGTGACCCCGGAGTGCGCCGGAAAGAGCTTCACCTGACTAGGTTCGTGGGAGAGAAAGGGACCCATGATTAGGGGTCAGGAGACTTCCCACCGCTTAGAAGCACACTCCTCGGTGGGCTTTAATTTCTTCCGTTCTCCGCATTGCCCTCGGCTCCAGAGGGCACCCTCCTTCCAGTGAACGGCCCAAGGCGAAGATCTATGCACGTCGGTAAGCTTGCCTGCCTCCTAACAGCAGTGTGGGGAAGGTCACACCGAGAACATCTACGGTTTCCCTAGCAGTCCCTGACGGCCGGAGGCCCTCGGAGCGGCGTCCGGCCCTCGCCTGCGGTGCACAGATGCCCCCTCCCCAAGCCCCCGGCTCACCCGCGTGGGACATGGGCGCCGTGAGGTTCCCGTGGCGCTCCTCGTTATAGAGGACTACGGCCGAGGCGTTCCTCCGCGCCGCCACCAACACCTTGTCCTTGAAGGTGCAGCCCCCGCGCGCCACCAGGGCGACCCAGGGCGCGGCCCGCCAGCCGGGCACGAGGAAGCGCGTGTCGGGCGCGCAGCCCTCAGGGTCGTGATCGGACGGGCGAGGGACGCCCACCAGGCCCTGCGCGTCCTCCTTGGGTGAGCTGTCGCCGAAGCGGCCGCTCTCCGAGACGCTCCACACGGTCCGGTTCGTCTGTGGGTCCATGTACTCGGTGCTCACCACGGCCGAGTACCACTCGAGGGCCCGGCTCCGGGCCCCGGGCGCGCACAGGACCAGCGCCAACAACGCCAGCGCCTCGCGGGCCCAGCCTCTGGCCTCTGGCCGCCGCCGCCACCCCATGGCCCCACCGCCGGGCTGACAAGGAGGGCGCGGGGAGGCGCGCCCACGACGCGGCGGAGGAGCTGAGACACTGGCGCTCGCCGCAGAGCCCGAGAAAGGGAAGGCGGGTCGCGGGCGGGGCCTCGGCGCACGCGCACCTGGCGGAGCAGCCGGCGGGCGGGGCGGGGCCTCCCTGGCCCTACCCCTTTCTTCCCCGGCGCGGTGAGCGCAGCCTGGAGGCCCCCTAGCTCCCTGGGGCCCGCGGGGCGGATCCGGGAGCCCTAGGTTAGGGCAGCCACGCGACTGCTTGCGGCACTTCGAGCCCCCATCGCTCAGCCCGAGCTTGTGTAACGGAATCTCGAGCGCTCCCGAGCCAGGGGAAGTGACCTCCAGAGAAACAGGAACCTTCTCCGCAGTCAGGCCGAGAGCGTGGGAGCGCGGTTGTGTAAAATCCCCCGACGGATATTTATGACGAATTTGCTGTGTAAGGCACAGGGCAAAAGCCTTGTTTTTCTAAACATTTCAAAATACGGTATAAAAAAATGCGAAGCTACACACATTCTTCCCAGAAAGGTTTTTGTAATGTTGATTCCTCATCGTTTCTCTGAAGTATGATACTCAACAACAATCCTTTTTATTGTGGTATTTTATGTACAATCTGTAGTTCTGAAATAAATATCAAACTACCCATTTAGATGAGCACTTAAACTGTTCAACAATACATAAGTCAAAAGATAAAAGGATTTGCTATTTGGAAATAAATACTGCGTGATGGAGAGATCTTACATAACTGACGTGGCTATAAAGCCTACTGGTACAGAAGTTGAGAATGTTGGTTTCTGACTGACTCATCGTCCATCTTTGTTCAAGGATCTATAGTTGAAGGAAGTAGCTTGTTGCTGTTTAAGAGTTTTGTTGGGCCTTAAACCCTCTCACGTTTCCTCTTTGCTGTTTCTTGGACTGCATTTTAAAACCACTCCAGAATGCAGCCTAGCCCACAACCCAGACATTTTCCTTGGAGTCGGATCTCCTCTCCCATTCCCTTCGGGAAACTAGTTTTAAAACGCTGAAAAGCTCCCAGGCATAATACCTTCTCCTTGCGCCAGACCTAGAATAAGGGAGATAAAGTATGGCGGTCATGGCAAGAACAGGTCCTAGTGTCGGGAAGGAATTCGGTTCAACTTCGTAGGGAAGTCAGAGTGAAAAAGTCAATAAAGCAAAGTAAATTTTATTTTGCTCTGTACAGAGTGACAAAGTGGGCCTGCCTAAAGTTAGACAGGCAGGCTACTTAAGACCATGATCCTTCAGCTGCAGTCCTATCCGGGTCACCCAGGGACTGGAGCTTGCAAGCCCAAATCAGGGCTCTCAGTAGCCCCTCCCTACTGGTCTGAAGTAGGACGGAGAGAGTGAAGACTTGTATTTAAATCTAGAAAATAGAATGAAATAGCAAAGTGACAAAGACATTTACCACCAGAGGTAGAGGTTGGAGAGTTTATCATGGAGAAGAGTTCAGAGATAAGTGCGATCGGCTTGTGCAACAAGAAAGTTTATAAGACAGTACACATTCAGATGGGAATGTAGGTGACCTCAGAAAGGAGGCACACTTAAGGGTTTAGGGGTTGAGGTATTATAGGGCCTTTTGGGTAGGGCTCAGCATAAGGCATGATGTATACAGGTGATTCATAATTCCTTTGAAGTTCTGTCTTAAGAATAGGGTTATTTAGGGGACTGTGTTGGTGTGGATCTCGGCACTCTTTATCTACATAGGTTCATTTGCACTTACGGGGTCTGTCTCCTGTCCTGGTTACAAAGTTACTTAATTGGTTAAGAGGCTGGAAGAAGAGAAAGAACAGCAAATAGATTAAGTAAGAATAAACTGGGCCTTTTTCACAGGCTAAGTAGATTTTACAATGGCACGACCCTCAAGAGGTAGGGGCAGAGAAATCCTTGACTGACGGTCTTTGGCCTTGGCGGCCTGATCTGATTGGTATGGTGAAGACTTGGGCTGCGCTCTGATGTTTTTCTTTATCTGGGAAATTGTTTTTCATCTGGGGAATATCCAGACATTCCAAGTCACTCCTGGCCTTTGAAACTTCAACCAATTAACTAATTAACACTGTGAGTCCTTTCTGGCTCTCTGCTTTTATCTGGTTAACTCTTTGAGTCCCTCTTAGTGGGCTTTAGTGGCTTTATTCTCTCTCCACCCCTCATGTCTGTCTTTCTCGTTAACACTAGGACCCCCACATTATGATCCAGCAAAACAAATACCTCCAGTTCCCAGAATATGCCTTTGCGGGTTCATGCTTTGTCTTACAAATTCATCTCCTTCTTCCTAAAATTCTCTGCTCCTGGGTCTTGCCCTGGCAAACATTAACTTCATCTCCAAGTTTTAACTCAAAAATGTATTTCTTCCACAGAAATTTCCTCAAAAGTAAACTTAGTTCCTGAAGCCAAAACTCGGGTGCTCCTATCTTCTATGTTGCTTGTGTCTATGTGTTTACACATTAATGTTGTGTCAGCAACACTACTTTGCAACTATGGTTTTCAGCCTTCTTATACTACTGTGAGTTCGGTGAGGGCACGGATTGTGTCCTTGCGCTTTTCACAAGCCCGCCTCAGCTAGCACAGCGTCCTGGGTGCCATTCATGTTTGCTGAATGAGCAAAACAGCTTTTATAAAACAGTAAAAACTGTTTCAGAGTCAAGGACTTCTATTATTGTTTACAGGCTTGTTGCTCAGAAAAGGCTAACAGGCTAATAGGAACAGGCCTTGCAGCTATAAAGCCCTTAGGCCTACCCCAGCCTTTTGGGTATTTTGTCATCACCAGCTCCAGGCCTCAGCTGGTTTCTCCCTAATCCAAAGCTGCACCACTGGCCCACCTTAGGGCCTTCATCCCCTATACCAGCTGCCAAGTGCCAGCCAGTCTCTGCACTTCCCCATCCCTACTGTCCCAGAAGAAAAGTTGACAGGCCTCACTCATCCCTGTGCTGTTTTTTTCAGTGGGGGGAGGAGGTGGGGAAGGTGTCATAATCTTTTTTTTTTTAATGGAAAAATTTAAACATTCTCAAGAGTAGAGAGACTAGTAAAAAGAAGCTGTATTCACTTATCCCTTAAATTTAGCAATGATCAACTCATGCCTAATTTCATTTCAGGTATAGCCCCAGCCACTTCAGTTTGCCCCTACGAGATTATTGTGAAGGAACTCCAAGACATCAGATGATTTTATTTGTAAGCACTTTAATATATCTTTAAAAGGAAAAACATAATCACAATATTATCACAATTTCAAAAAAGTTGTCCACAGTTCTTTAATATCATCAAATATCCAATCAGTGCACAAATCTCCTGATGGTCTCCTGAGTGTTATTTTACATTTAGTGTGTTTGGATCAAGGTTTAAACGTTCATCCATTGCATTTGGTTGAAATGTCTTTAAGTCTCCTTTATACATAAATTTTTCTCCTTTTTCTTTTTGAAGAAGTTGGGTGATTTGTCCTATACAATCTTCCACATTCTGTATTTGGCTGATGACAATTTAGCATGTTCCTTTATCTCCTGTATTTCCTGTCAGCTGGTAGTTGGGTCAAGAGGTCTGATCAGAACCAGCTTGGATTTGGGGGCAGGAATACTTCGTAGGTGGTGCTGTGCACTTTCATCTGTAGGCACATCATGGTGGTGGTGGTGGGGTTTTTGTAATATCAGTAGCCACTAATGATCATTACCTAAACCTGTTATTTCCTTAAGGGTTTGCGAAATGCTGATATTTTAATTCTGTCATTCCTTCTTAATTTATTAGCTGTAATACTTGTATAAAGACAAACTACCTCTCACCAAATGGGGTTGCCCTTAGGTGCAATTTGTATAGAAGAGCCAGGTTAAATGTTTAATTCTTTTATTGATCAGAATTAATGAATCCCTAACTCTCCCCAAAGAGAATTCTTTTAAAGTGACCATTAAGTATGCTAAATTTATGGACTCATGAATTTAGCATACTTAATGAGTTTTAATTCTTTACTGTTATTATTCCTGTTGAAGACTGGATTCTCCCATTGCCGGCCATTGGGAGCCTCTCCAGATTAGCTTCTAAATACCCCTCTGAAATTAGTGGAGCATAAGCCAATTCTTTAAGGATCCTTGTTTCCTCTTAATAGGAAATGCTCTTTTGAGACCACAATCTGTCCCCTGGCTTTTTTTTTCTTCACTAATTATATAAATGATACTGTCAATGAAAGACTGTCAAATGTTGGTAAACCACATTCCAGAATTTTTTCTGTCCCCATAAGTATATTTTAAATGACAAAATGCAATACATATTGGCTGTTTATTTGCCTTTTAAAAACTCAGGAAAGTCTCATGAACATTTTTCTATACTATGAATACACTTTTCTGAGGTCATTTAAATGGCTATATGTTTGAAAGAGCAGTTTTTCTAATTGATTCCTGTTTTGGGAAATATAAGATGTCTCCTATTGTTCCATATTATAAATGAAAACTTATAATTTATAATATAATATCCATATATAATTTACATTAATAAGTATATAAATATATATAATTTATAATACAATATTTATCAGTGAAAATGTGCATGATGATTTAGTTTCTCTCTCATAGGATCAATTCCTAAAAGTGAAACTGCTGTACCTAAGGATAAGCACAGTAAAAAATATTTTTAATATATTCTCATGATTCAGAATTCAAAAGGTACAGTAGAGTAATACTCTTTGCAACCCTTGTCCCAGCTGCCCCACCGAGGCACCCACCATTACTAGCTTCTTATAGATTGTTTCAATATAATTCTTTGCCTATACAACAATTTGTGTGTTTACTCTACATCCATTTTTTCAGCAAATGGTAGAATATATACACTGTTTTACACCTTGCATTTTTTCACTTATTTATTTGGTAAAGATCTTTGCATAATAATTCATAAGGAACTTCCTTGTCCTTCCTTAGGCTATATAGTGTCTCATGGTATGAATGGTCCATCATCTAATTTAACCAATTCCCAGCTAGTGGACATTTAGGTTATTAAGAATATGTTATCATTAGAAACAGTTTTGCAATAAATAACCTTGCACTTATGCCCCTTTACACATTTATCTATAGGATACATTTCTAGAAGTAGGAC